AATGGAGTGAAATGGGGGTTGCAGATTCTTAAACATGGGTGTGTATGGCTATAGGTGATGGGTGCCATGCAAAAATTCACCATCCCTGGATAAATGGACTACCTCCTGTCTAGAAGAATCAAGAAACTCTCTCAACTGATAGAGTTAGCAGTCTTAAGGAAGGGTCAGGAAGTTGGGATTTAGCTAAGTGTACCCTGCTTTTCTCTGATGAGACTGTGAAAAATATTCAAAACCTTCCTTTAACGGACCCTGGTTGTGAAGACATAATCGTTTGGAAAGGAAACAAGAGTGGAAACTACACAGTCAAGAGTGGTTATAAGATGCTTTTTGACTCAAAAAACACTTTAATCTTGAGTCAGCACTTAGGGAATTCGAACAAACCAAATTGGAAACAATTCTGGAGGCACATGGGCACTCTAAAACAGAAAACTTTCATGTGGAAAATTTTTAAAAATGCCTTACCTGTGGGAAGTGAAAGGAAAAAGAGAGGTTTGGGTGATAAACATCACTGTCTGTTGTGCTATGATAGTGAAGATCAGAAATCTTTGCAGACTGAAACTCTTGAGCATTTGTTTAGGGACTGTTCTTTTGCCAGTCATGTTTGGAAAGGCTGCCAACTAGGGATTAATGTAGCCTTCCAGCTGAATATCCCGATTGCTGAATGGATACAAAATTGGCAAAGAATTCTTAGTAGGAAGAATGAGAGCATGGAGAGAAGCTACTTACTTTTCTTAGCAGGTTTGGAAAGTATTTGGGAAGCTAGAAATCAGAGAATTTTCAAGAACACGAAGCCCAATCCATGGTCTGTCATCAAGAGAATGGAGAGTAGAGTAGTCATGCCACCGAAGAAGCTAGATGCCAGTGAGGATTGCAATGTCACCTCAGTTTCTCAATATAATGATGCCCCCCCGAGGTTTAACTCTTTATACAGGAACACTCAGAATATTCAAGGTGAGCATAAACATAATGACAATCTGATTGCTGGAACAGGTTTTTGCAAAACAGTCAGCCTGGAAGTGCATAAAAGAGGACAGAAAGGGAAGCAAAGAGAATGGTACTGGATCTTGAAGTCGGATAGCAGCTGCCAGGGTAATGACTCTTATCAGGGTGTAGACACCCATTTGTGTCTCCCCAAAACCAAACCCAGTGATGAGTACCTTTCACGTTGAATCATAATCGAATGAAATGAAAGTGTGGAAAGGTCTAGTGTTGCGGAAAGTTTTATTTTCTTTTCTTTTCTTTCTGTTTTTGAAAACTTATTTTAAGAAAACATCCAATCCAGTTTGGTTGGTCCATGATATGGGTCCAATAGTAGTGTATATGGATGGGGCTTGCAAAGACCTTTCCAACGATATATTATAAGCCCAATTTCGATGAATATTGAGGAAGTTATGACCAATTTACCAAACTGGGCCCGGTTTGAGCTTTATGTACGGCCCAATGATCTTGGGGAGGGCCTAATATGATTTATCATTCCTAATGCAATTAGGAATGGTTTTAGTCTTCTAGATTATTCTAGAAGGTTATTTTCATTCCTAATTCAATTAGCATTGATAAATTGACTTTTGTTGACTTTTCAGAGTTTAATCAAAATCGAATAGCATTTTTGAGGAAATTATATTATTTTATCCTCCAGTACAGTAAACTTATCGGATTTTCGAAAACGCGTTGGTATCAGGCTTGGCGCCTAACCCCAGGCCTTGGCGCCTGGCGCTAGTGCTGGTGCCAGCTAGCCAGGGTTGGCGCCAGCTGTTTCGGGAGCGTCAGACTCTGTTTTGTTAAATTATTCTTTTTTGGCTGATTTTCTCTATAAATATCGTATTAAAAACTCCGTTTTCAATGATCTACATCTATCATTCATCACCAATTCTCATCGTCCATCATTCTCAACAATCATTAATTCTTTAGCATTCTTTAAACATTCAATTCATTCTTACTTTGCTTTTCATACAAAATTCCGCATTCACAAGATCTAGAAACACCTAGCCATATTCGAAGTTGTCTTCTCCCTAGACGTGAAAGGGTTTAATTTCTGAGGGTTTGGTCCCAAATCTCTATTTCAATTATTTAATTTGATTGTTTGTTTATTATTTTCCTTGAAGTTACTAACGTGTGTATTTTGTTATTAGAAAGAGGTACGAGGCATCAAAGTAAGTACTCTAATTGATTAATTGATATTATGATGTAGAAATCATGTTTACATTGTTATTATGATATTCCTAGTATCATGTCTAGGGTAATTTTAATATTAAATATGATTGTTGTGATGCTTCATATGTTCTTCCTAATATTTATGATTGTTAGTATCATGTTAGGGCTAAAGATTTGATTTTTATTGCTTAGTGACATGCTAGGGTTTGTTATTAATCTTGTTAGTATCATGCCTAGGATCTTGCTATTTTTATTATGCTTTAATATTAATATGAACATGATTATGATTATTATTATTATTATTATTATTATTATTATTATTATTATTATTATTATTATTATTATTATTATGATGATGATTATTTAATTCATGATGATTATTATGTTGCTTGATATTTATTGTTATTGCTTGATCACACCTTTTATGCATGTTTAAAGGGAATTTGGTACTTGTAATCACGCTTAATAAGATATTTAATAATCTTGTTAGGGTTAATTTGATTATAATTTCAAGTGATCGCCAATAATAGATTTATTTGTGCATTAAATTCAACCAACATAGATAAACAGGTTTAGGGTTAATCCTATTAATTGCATGTTAATCAGAAAGCGCACATGAATACGATCAGAATAAAGTTGAGGCCTATTATTAGGGCAGGTTCAATCTCTTTTAGGTTGGATTTGTACCTTCATCCCCGAACCCTTATTTGGTTCATGACCTTATGGAGTTGACGATCTCTTGGATCGTTAAGGGGTGTGACCTTCACCTCGTGAACGGTTTACAAGTTCCTTAAAAAACTTGTTGGCGACTCTTTTGCTCTATCTTCTTCCCTTTTGGACGCCACCGTACTTTAGTGTATGATCACAGTGGGGTTCGAGCTAGTGGGATTTTAAAGGCTTGAAATTATTCCCTACACAGGGATATGGTTTTGGCAGTCTGTTTGCAGCTATAAACAGTGGTCTTTTGGCCGCTCTGAAGGACAAGCTATGGCACCTTCATATCTGTTGCCAGGAGAAGCAGATTACTAAGTGGCTGCAAGGCCATTTTTCAGGTTGCCAAGAAGATAGAGTGATACTTCACAAAATCAATTCTCTTTTACCCAATTTTCATTGTTTGTCTGTAGGTACTCTTGCTTTTGGGGTCTAGTGTTACCCTTTGTAATAGCTGTCAAAAAAAAAAAATTGTTAAATTAGTCTTTTTTTTAAAAGAAGTTAAAGTAGTTATTTTGATAAAAGATCCATGAATAAGGCCTTGTTTAGTTCACCTTATTTTTACATTCAGATCAGATCAGATCAGAAAAAATAATTTCAAATCAGATAATCGTTTTATGTGCAGTTTTTTATCGCTAAATAACTTTAATTTCGTAATGAAAAAATTTCTAAAAATCAGTCATTAATAATATACACATTATTACGAATCTAACAAGACTATACTTAATATATTTTTTTCGTATAGATTAGCATATATTTAAAGTTAAAGTTTGATCAAATTTGACATTCAGATCAGCAAATATAAGGCGAATTAAAGGCCTAAGAGCATTCACCACAATGAGCAAAAAATTGCTCATGAGCAAATTTTATGAGAAAAAAGCAAAAAAAAATGAACTACATCAGTGAGCATTTAGAAATTAGCTCATGAGCAAAACGTAATTTGCTCATCCTATGAGAGCATTCACCACAATGAGCAAAAAAATGCTCATGAGCAAATTTTATGAGCAAAAAGCAAAAAAAATGAACTACATCTGTTTAGGGTGAAAATACCCTAAGACACGTGGCCCAATAAAGGCTTGACACGTGTCAATCTTTCAACGGTCTGCAAAGGCCCAATCCCTTTGCGACACGTGTCCCTTATACCCTAATTGAGGTACAGTTCTCCCTTACTATAAATAGTAAGGGTAGACCTCATTTATAAAAAACACACATTAATTGCAACCACAGAAAAAACAAACAAAGCCCAAACCTACTGAAACGCTCTCGAACCGAGAAGCTTTTATTGTTCTTATTCCACTTCGAAAAGATACTAACTTAATCTTCGGAGGCGGAACTCCCACCCCCATCCGGAGTCTCCGTTACTTGTGCAGGTACAGGCGTAAGAAGGAAGTCTGCTAGGAAATTGTAACTCTCCCGAAGGACATAAAATACCCCCAAACAACATTAGTGAGCATTTAGAAATTAACTCATGAGCAAAACGTAATTTGCTCATCCTATGAGCAAAAAAAAGGATGAACAATAACATACGGGCCCCACACCAAAGAAAACCAGCAGCTGTTTTTTTTTACTTTGTCCACCTCCAAAATGATGTGTTTTGGGTGGGTCAAAGAAGAACCCACTATCAAAACACATCGTTTTGAGGGGTAGGAAGTAAAAAAAAAATTGTAATACATGCTGACATGGGCGTGTCAGATCAGCAAATGGAAAGCTGACACGCGTCCGGGTGAGTGGTAAAAGTCAATCAGAAAATTGTATCCGTTGCAACAACTGTTATAATTTAAAAGGCAAGTTTTTGTAATGTAAATCAATTTTTTTTTTTAAAAAAAAAATTACCAACGGTCATAAAATTATTTTCTCTATAAATAGAGATCCATTTTGATATATTTTGATATACTTTCAAAAATCACAAAAGTTCTCTATATTTCATTTTCTCTCAATTCTACTAAACAATTATTATTATAAGTATTATTTATTATTATTATTATTATTATTATTATTAGTAATTTGTAATTTGTATTTTTAAAAAATAAATTTTTTATTTGATTGCTCTATCATATTTTTTATTGCTGTTTCAATAATTATTATTTAAAAAACCGTGTTACTATTTTTATACTAATTATTGTTGCTATTTTGTTCTAATGGATCCCAACAACCCTAATTTCTCTCAAATGTCTCAACATTTTTCTGATTTGGGTGACGATTTTATAACCAATCCCAATTTTCAAGTTTTCCTACAAAGATTAGGAAATACATCTTTGCAAAATCCTTCACAACAACAAACACCTTCACAATTTTCTACTGAAAACACTTACTATGATCAACAAACACCTCAAGCAAATCCTACTGAAAACGCTTATTATGATCAACAAAGATCTCCTGCTTATGAAGGTAGCAACTCTCAATACGATGAGAGCCAAGAAGAAAATGTTCCAGAGACACCTCAATACCCTGCACCACATCCTAGAATTCCGACCAACCAACCACTTGCTAAGGCGAGTCGCATTTGGTCAGTTGCAGAGGATGAAGTTCTAATTGGGTTGTATTTAAAATTAAGTGAAGATGCACTTGTTGGCACGAGCCAAAAAGCATCTGAGCTGTGGCGAAAAGTACATGCGGATTATAGTCTAGCTCAAGCGGAGAAGCCTCATATATTACCGCTAAGACCGATGAAGAGTTTGGAGACACATTGGAGAAGAATGGCAGCTGGTTTGCTACAGTGGAGTTCTTGCTATGAGGAAGCTGGTAAACTTCCAGAAATTGGAAGTGGTTATAACGAAGCTGACCGAATTAAAAATTCATATAAGTTGTTTTATATATCCACTAATCCCCAACATAATTTTGCTTTTCCCCATGGTGTTGAAATGGTTAACAAAGACCCAAAGTGGAGGACAAAGCTTAGATGGGGTTTATCGAAGGAGGAAAGAAAGACATGTGGGCCAGATGATGAAGAAGATAGTAGTGGAAGTGGGAAAAGGTCCAGGGCTGAAGGTGAAATCTCTACTCATGGATATTCTTCAGAAGGTCTACCACGACCTGACGGTGTGAAAAAAACAAAGGCCAAGCGTAACAAGGGCAAAGCAGTGGTTTCTGAGAGTGCATTTTTCAACATTGGTGAACAAATGAAGGCATGTACTGAAGTTAGAGAAAAGAGGCAAATCTACGACAACAAAAGTTAGACCTTGACAGGGAAAAGGAAAAGAGAAAGCAAAAACAAGTTGAATTAGCATAGAAGAAGATGAATTTTGATATGCTACAATCTCTATTAGCTAAGCCTACACCACTAACTCCCTCTGAAGAGGTATACAAGGAAGAGTTACTTCAACTAGTCCATGGTCGGAGATTCGATTAGGTTTATATGTATTGTGGTCGTATTTTTAATTTTATGTTTATTTTAGTAATATGTTAAGTTTAAGTTGTATTTCAATGGTGTGTTAAGTTTAAGTTCAATATGTATTTTAGTATTGTGTTAAATACAATTTGTATTTCAATATTATGCTAAGTTCATATTTAATTTTGTTTCAGTATTGATTTACCAATCTTATGTTACCTTATATCCGAATAATATGTATGCTTACAAATTTAATTCATTGTTTAAGAAAAAAATTGTCATTGTTTATGACAATATGACTATAACACCCATCCCTATGACAATAAAACCGTAAAATCTGATAATAATTTTATACAATGCTCCGTAACCAATATATTGCACAATAATTATGACAGTGTTACCGATATTTCAAACAATTTTGTTAACAAACAATGTATTTTTATCCAATGCTTCTTAATACTTGTGTTATTATGCATTGAGTAATAATGTCTCATTTTTAATACTTGTCTTATTATGCATTGAGTAGTCATGTCTCATTTGGGTTGAAAGGTCATCCAATTTTTCGACGATTCAATTTTTTGAATAGTAGTCATGTAACATGTCAGTATGTAGTTTGTATTATTGGGTTGAATGGTCATTCAATTTTTTTGACCAGTCTAGGAGTGCAATGTTATATATACTTGTGCATTTATCTGTCCACAAGTAAACTCATCCAAATTAAATTTTCAAAATTAACAAAGAAATACAATGTTTTCCATTAGCTCAACCTCTAGTTCATCTGATTCTGATCAATATGCGGAATTTGATCAACTAGTTGACAAATTTGTCACAAACCACCTACCAACTATGATGCTTCGTGAACCACAACCACAACCTGTGACTGAAATAGAAAGTGTCCCAGAGCCTAGAGGGGATACAGATAGGAGAGATAGGGAAAAGGGCCATATGCAGTTGTATAACGACTACTTTGCGAATAATTCAGTGTACAACAACAAACAATTTCGGCGTAGATTTCGAATGCAACGACCTTTGTTCTGTCGGATTATGAACAAGGTGGTTGAGGGGATAAATTCTTCCAGCAGCGTAGAAATGCAGCTGGAAGGCTTGGGTTATCACCGTTGCAGAAATGCACCGCTGCGATAAGAATGTTGGCATATGGTACCGCTCCAGATGCCGTGGATGAATATCTACGCCTTGGTCAAACAACCACTAAGAAGGCTTTGCAACATTTCTGTCAAGGGGTTATAACACATTTTGAAGCTAACTACCTAAGAAGTCCCACATATGAAGATTTAAGGAGAATCTTGCATCAAAATGAAATGCGTGGTTTTCCTGGCATGATAGGTAACATTGACTGCATGCATTGGGAGTGGATAAATTGTCCTATGGCTTGGAAAGCACAATACGCAGGCCGAAGTAAGAATGCAACCCTCATTCTGGAAGCTGTTGCAGATCAAGATTTATGGATTTGACATGCATTCTTTGGAATCCCTGGATCTTGTAATGATCTAAATGTCCTTTACCGGTCTCCGGTATTTGATGATTATCTGCAAGGTCGGGCTTCTCCAATTAATTTTTCAGTGAACGACCATGAATACAACTTGGGCTATTACTTAGCAGACGATATTTACCCAAGATGGGCTACCTTCATTCAAGGTATAACACTTCCTCAACTTCGCAAGGACAAATTATTTGCTGATAAACAAGCTGCAGCTCGAAAGGACGTTGAACGAGCTTTCGGAGTTTTACAAGCAAGGTTTGCCATACTACGACAACCCTCACTTGCGTTTGACGAAGACATTTTGTGTGACATAATGAAAGCTTGTATCATTATGCATAACATGATTGTTGAAGATGAACGACAAAACTACACTCGAGCCGAAGTTTTGAGAAGGTACTATGAAGAAGATCGACCACAAAGTTTAAGACCAAGTACAAGTGCCACAGTGAACAATAACGAGCCTTTTGAATTCAATGTTGGCCGACCTCCTAACGTTGATTTTGACACGTATGTTCAGAGAAGAACTTCCCTACGTGATAGAGAAACTCATGTTTCTTTAAAAGCGGATTTAGTAGAGCACATTTGGAAAAAATATGGTTCTAATGATGAATAAACAATTAGAATGTCGTTAAGATTTTTTTAGGTTATGTCGTTGATTAATATGGTTTCTAAAATAAGAAAATGTAGTCGTACGATAAAAATTAAAACATAATGTATTTGTAAGACTATAATTTTATGTAGTCTTATAATATCTATCTTTCTTATGTTATTTTAAATTTAAAAATAAATGAGTAATTTCCTACGTGGTTGATTGATCGGTTAATTGTTCGTTATAATTTTACTAATTATTATTTACATAATTAGTTTAATATAATTAGATTTAAATTGTTCAAAAATATAATTTATATTAGTGTAACTTCATTAAACAAAAAATAATAAATATGAATATGGTGATGTGTATAGAGAGAAAAATATTGGTGGGATATTGAATAAAGTAGGAGAGAGAATGGTGAGGAAATTTTTTTAATGATTGGTGGGATAAAAATATGACCACCAAAATGCTAAGAGGAGAGAGAAAGTGAGTAGAGAGAGAATGAGGAAGTGGAAAAATGCTCGAATGCTCTAAGTATCCAATTGCCTCAAATTGCCCTTAAAAGTAAAAACAAAAAACACCAAAAAAAAAAAAAAGAAACTTTTAAAAAAATAAAGACTGTTGATATTATTTAGATCAGACGGTTGACATTATATGGCTCCCATTAATCTTCTTTCATTCAATTTAATTTCCCTCGATTCTCACTTTCACGCTGCTCAGCACTCTCCCACTCTCTATCCTCCATTGAAGCAGCTTCTGAGGTAAGATCGTTTTTCATAATCTAGGGTTTAATCAAACTATCATTGATTTAATTTTCAGTATTGTCAATTTAGGGTTCAAATTAGGAGGGGTTCGTGAAGTATTGTTTATAATTACTGAAGCTATGAAATGGTACAATGAATGCTTTTGTTTCTAGGATTTTACTGTGTTTAATTTAGATTGATATACTTAATCCAGAAGTATTTTATGTGAATTTTTTAAGCTTAATTTGATTCGTAATTGAGTCAAATTTGGTTGTTAATGACCTACATTATTTTTTGGGCCCTAATCGAGCCATTTTAATTAATTTGAATTCAGCCATTTTCAGCCATTTTAATTAATTTGATTTCAGCCATTTTCAAAATAAAAATAAAAAATCCAAAAAAACTTACAAACAATTGGTTCAAGGAAAGTACTATGAAAATGGATCTTTTCTCCTTGTAACATGGCTCAGGGATGGAAATGTATGAATTTGAATTTACAAAATTAAACTACGAGTAGTTCATAATGTAAATTTAATATCTTTAAATATTAGAATTAATTAACTAAAACAGAAGTACTAAATGCAGTATAAAATAACCTAAATGCAGGATTTATAAATTGACAATTAAACTCACTAAAGACTATAATACCCTTTTATAATCCAACACAATTAAAATCTCTTCAGCTTCCCCATTGCTGAATTCTCACCACATTTTCATGAGTTTGATAATTCTGATCGGAAGATCAAAGGTGTAGAATAGAAGCAATGAGAATCAATGGATCTTTGAGGTTGGAATTGTTAATCAATGATATGAATGAATCTGACTTTATGGTCTATATTAATGAATATTATGAGGTTGAATATCTTAAAAATCATCAACCATGATAGGTTCTTGCCAGAAAGTTCTCCTTCATTGTGTTCTGACATTATGGTCAAGGTTAGTTTTAGCTAAATAATCAATTAAAGGGCCTTATTAATTTATGCCGGTAAGCTATGAAGAGGCCTGGAAATCAGAGCCGACAGTAAGAGGAAGGCCCCAGAAATATTTTATGGTAGTTCATTTAAGGTCCCAGAATGGTTTAGCGGTGGGATACCTATGGCATCAGAAATCTAATACGGAATTGCTAAATCGTCGTACGTCATTGTCAACCTTAATAATACCAAATTTATCATAATAAGGTTCATCATCTTCCATCTAACCGTGGATGAATGCTTAAAACTTATGAGATATGATTTACAAGTTAATTGATATGGAGTTATGGCTGATTAAATAGTTATCAAGGTGAAATGTAGCAGGTTAAAAGAAGGGTTATTTTTATTTTATTTTTTTTTTCACTAGAGAAAAAAGGGTATTATTGGAAAGATAAAAGTTGTTGTAAATTATATTATCCTGCATTTAGGTAAAACTATACCTGCATTTAGTACCTCCCTAACCAAAATGGGTATGTAAAAGGTAAAATCGTTGAATATTAGAATTAATTAACCAAAATGGGTATGTAGTTATTAATCTGAAACTTAGAAATTAGGGAAAGTTACAAATTTTCGAGAACAAAGGAAGTATATGTATATTGATTTCAAAACATGAAGACTTATTGGGTTCAAGTGTAATTTATTTTATGTTATTGTATTTGCATAAGTGCAGACTGGAATAAGTAGTTTTGAATTTTGATATGTATTTTGGATTAGGCTATTTGATTTCATTGTTTTTGTTTGAAGATTTCGTATTTGTAAGCAAGATTCTTGGATTTGGCAGTGGAAAGCTTAAGCATTTTCAATGGAAAATGATGGTGAGAAGATGGAGGTAAAAGGAGACGAAGAAAATGGACAAGTAGTGACTCCATGGGAAGTATCCGCCAAAGAAGGCGGCAAAATTGACTATGATAAACTAATCGACCAGTTTGGCTGCCAACGTCTTGATTCTACTCTTATTGAACGTGTTGAACGCCTCACTGGTCGTCCTGCTCACGTCTTCCTCCGCCGTGGCGTCTTCTTTGCTCACCGGTCTTTCTTTCTCTCTTTATATTTCTTCAATTTTGCTGATTAATTTTCTGATTTTTGGTGTTTGATTAATTTCCTGATTTTGCAGTGATTTGAGTGAAATACTTGATGCATATGAAAGAGGGGAGAAGTTTTACTTGTATACTGGTCGAGGACCTTCCTCCGAAGCGCTGCATTTGGGGCATTTGGTACCTTTCATGTTCACAAAGTACTATTTTCTCTCTCCTTTTCTAGTTTTAGTAAAAATTATAGTTTCTGTGTTTGATAGCATAATTTTTTCCTGAAATCGTTGTATAGTTGAAATTTAACTTTTTGGTGATGAATTATGAGCTGATTTAATATTTGTGATGAAATTTTAAAGGAATTTTAGGTGAATAAATTATTTAAGTTTATGTCATGCTATGAGAGTCTTTCATTAATTTAAGGTGACTGAATTGGGCTTATTGTAGTATTTGTGTAAAATTAGTGCTACATTGTTGCCTTGAGGTGTAGAAGTTTATGTAATTTATTTGTACTTCTGTTTTAGGTGAACTTAATTCTTTATTGCGGATTGATTGTAGTCTAGTTGGAATGGGGAAGGAGTAGGGAATAATTATCTTTTCTCTCAATGTTAATGTAGGTCTTGATTTTGCCGTACACAATTAAAAGTTTGCAGAAAATGTTAATCTACAGTGCATAACCAACCATTATGTTTACGGTTTATTTGATATATCTTGATTTTTTTGTAGATCAGTGTTAAATAGAACTGAGGCTCTTTTTTTTTTTTGAAAGAAAAAAAAAGAACTGAGGCTCTTTGTTGATTTTTATGTAAATCTTCTTTTTAGAGCAAGGCAACTGTTAGCATGAGTCCTAGTATTTGTCACATTATTGCTCTCTTTTTGGCACATTAAAATTACTAATACTTGAAGGGTACAGGTATCTACAGGATGCTTTTAAGGTGCCCTTGGTGATCCAATTAACAGATGATGAGAAATGCATGTGGAAAAACTTGTCCGTGGAAGAGAGTATTAGACTTGCACGTGAAAATGCGAAGGATATTATTGCTTGTGGGTTTGACGTGTCCAGAACATTCATTTTTACCGACTTTAACTTTGTTGGTGGGTGTGTATTTCATTGATCTTACTTGGAAGTAATAAATATTCTTATTGCATCTTGGATCAATTTAGTCTATTTGGGAGACTTATAAATTAGGTAGTGATATATTTTTTCCAATGCAATTCGCACTAAATCCAACTTCTTGTACAGAAAGTTCTATCAGAATATGATCAAAATTGCCAAGTGTGTCACACTAAACAAGGTAGATTTTGCTTTATGATTGGACTTATTTGCAGATGTTTAATTATCACAGATTATGAATTTCATGAGCTGATTTTGGATGGTTATGGCAGGTTTTTGGTATATTTGGTTTTACTAATGAAGATCACATTGGCAAAGTATTTTTTCCAACAACTGAGGTACTCTCTGCTGTCAATTTAAGTCTTGGCAATTGTTTCTTGATTTTTTCATACTGTCTCATTGGCTCTTGCCATTCAGAGCCGTGTTATCATGGTCATACTCTTTTATTGATCTGCTTTGATTTCCTTTATACTTGTTGGTTAAAATGGTCGAGTTGATGCACTGTCAACTGGCCCCTCTACGCTGTGCCATTGTGAATGATATCCAATATTGGGTAATTAGGATGAGCTCTAATTAGAATTTTGGAGTGAAATGAGCTATTTTAAACTGTCTCCTGCATTCGTTTCTTATATAGCAAATCATTTGAATTTTTTTATTGATTGATTTTAGCTTCTGATACTTTTTGTGGGTGCAGGCAGCTCCTGCCTTTTCCAGTTCATTCCCTCACCTGTTTGCTGGCCAAGATAATGTTCGGTGTTTGATTCCTTGTGCAATTGACCAGGTTGATTCTTTTTACCTGGTCTTAACATAAAGTTTCTTTTTTATTTTTATAATTTTGAAATATCGTTCATTCTGCTTTTACTGGTTTGCTTGTTTTGATTGGTTGCTTACGTTGATTTGCATTGGGCCTCAAATCTTGTAATTTTTGTCTTGTTGAGCATTGACTAAAATTCCAGCATGATGTTAGATTTAAGCTGAATTTATGATCAGGTCATGATGGGTTTCAACCTTTTTTTTTTTTGAAAGATTGGGTTTGAACTTCGGGTTAGGACATTTTGGCAATTTCATCAGTGTTATCCTCTTCTGAATTTTCCACCCTTTTGCTTTTTCTTATTGAAGAGGTGTGTGTGTGTGTGTGTGTGTGTGTGTGGAGAGTGAGTGAATGTCTGGGCTATTTTTTTGAGTCCTGAACGATGTCAAGCCCAGGTCTTGATTTGCTTAGTGTTTGAACAGGGGTCAGGGGCACTGTACTGTTAAGACCTTGGTGCAGAGTTGCGAGGTCCCTGGTATGTCTCTTAGATCGGACTTTGCTTTTCTAGGTCCAGACTAGAGAAAGGCCTGTCAAGATTGCTTTACTTTTATTAAGGTTTTCGTTCCAGTCCCTCTGTCATCTGAAATTAACACCTGATAACGGAGATCCTCTCCCTGATCCTCATGTTTGCTTTCCCTTACTAGCGATTAACCTATAACGCTCTGTTACCAGGTCTGATTGTTTATGTTGCAGATCGTCTTCTTAGGTTGGGCCTTGAAAGTGTCTATTCTTATTACCTCTTCTTCTCTAGTTCTCTGCTGAGACAAATTTGTCCTGCTTTCCATTTTGTCATTTTCCAGGATCCTTACTTCAGAATGGCAAGAGATGTTGCTCCTCGGATAGGATATCAAAAACCTGCATTGATCGAGTCTTCCTTCTTTCCTGCACTTCAGGTAATTTTGACACATGATATGATCATGTCTTGTGCTTTTTGAGGAGTTTATGGTCATGATGTTTGGGGAATGTAGGATTTGAAGCGATTTAATTCATTGTATCATGCTAATGTTTGTAGTCATTCTGATGAAATATGAATTAGTTTCTCTTATGGTGAGAATTATTGAGAATGGCGGATGATTTATTACTTAATTTAAATGTCTTGTTCCTAGGAAAAAAATAATTTGGTATTACTTTGGCTAAAAATATCCTTATTATTATGCATAGAAACAACTTGCCTTGCTAATTTCTGTTCTATTTGGTCTCTGATTATAAGGTCTATTAGAATGTATTCTTATATTAGCAGTAGCACCATGATACTCCCTGCGTTCCATTAAGCTCTTTTGCACTATAGTGGGAGCTGGTGGAAAGTTGGTCCCTTTTGACTTTTTGGATAGAACAGAGAATGTTGTTTAGAAACATGGATGTTACTCAATAGATTTAGTGGACCAACCTGATGGTGTAAGGAAGAATAAAAGAGGTTTTTTTTTTTTTTTTTTTTTTTTTTTTTTTTTTTTTTTTTTTTGCCAAACATGATATTATGTAAAATAAGAACATGGACTTTAAGGTATCAAGTGAAAACTTAACAATGATGAGGGAGTATATGATACCATGTATTACTGTGCTTTTTCAATAGTATGATAGTTTGTTTTATTTTAGTTGTATGATTGTTCACCTATCTAGCACGAATCATACAGCTCCACTGTATTACTGTCTCTAGGTCGTTTGGATGGTAGGTCGGGGCTCCTTGGAGCACCTGTCTGAAGTTGTGGGAATTTATGTGTTAAAAATTTATGCTTTTCTTAAATGCAAATTGGGTAAAGTCATATTTCTACTGTATTTGTAATTTGTATACATAGCTGTGGAATGTTATATATGTTTTCTTCTCATTAGCCAAAGCTTATACATGTTTATTAGTTGTATTTCTCCATACCTATTTCGTGTTACTTCTCTTCCCATCCAAAAAAAAAAGAAGATGTTACTTTGCAGGATTATTTGTTATGAATAAGACTTCATGCTTGAAATGAGAAACTCTTCAAATGCTTTGAATATTGCAGGGCGAGGCTGGAAAAATGTCTGGAAGTGATCCTAATTCTGCCATATATGTGACTGATACTGCAAAAGACATCAAAAATAAGGTTTGTAATTTACTCCTCAGCCACTACCTCGTAAATCTTTCTGGGGCACTGACTGAATAATATGTCAAACTAAGCTGTAACTTTATAAATATCTAAGAGATGAAGGCATTCCCCATTGTTTAGGAGGAATATATGCGACTATTTATCACCTTGAGCAGTTGGATAACAGAGTTATAAGATGTTTCATAGGTGTAGGGAATTTGATTTAAAAAAGAGTTATCAGGACTAAATACATTGAATCTTATGTCTAAAAATTCCGAATAAACTAGTACTCTCCTTTTTCCTAATAATAGGGTACATTTGACCAGGGTCATTTTTGTATGAAATTGAGTTAAAATGCCACAGAAATCCTTCATTTCATTTAAATTTAATTACTTACTATATCATGTAGACAATATTTTCGCATGGCTTATTTTAGAAATGTGGTCTATTATTCAAGGATGAGGTATCCAAAACTATTTTGTAGGGAAGGGGTAGTAGTGTTTAAGTTCTTCCTGGTTAAGTATATCTATAATCTCTAAAGGAGCTTATGCATGGCTATCCTATGTTGCTAAGTGCTAAGCTTTAGCACTATTTCATCTGCTTTATTTTTTGATCGTTAGACTCTCTTTTGCTGCTGCAGGTGAATCGATATGCTTTTTCTGGCGGGCAAGATTCTATAGAAAATCACAGAAAGTATGGAGCTAATCTAGAGGTACTTCGCTGTTTATTTTTCTGTTGCGTTTAGTCGCTTACTGTATCGGATTTGTGACCTGTGCTAGAAGCTGAAAAGGTTCTTCAGTAGCTATTTTGGGAAACCATGATGTATTTGGTGATGAAAGTAGTGCCGTGGAGTACAATGATGTTACTTTCATCTTTTTAATCGCCAATTCTGTTTTTGGTAGCTATTCTTAATCCAACAGTACAACATGTCTTATTATTGTAGGCCATTGCTGCATCCATGTACCTAGAAGAATGGCATACAGTATTCCTTTTTTCTTTTACTGTACCGCCTTTTATGTTTTTATTTAAAGGAGTATGTGCTCATTCTATTTTGTTGTTCAAACAAATTTTTTGCTCTCTGTTGGTGTCCTCTTTCCTTGTCTGTATATTTGTTCGATGTAATGGCAGGGTGAAGAGTAATTTTAAAACTAGACAATGTTATATGTGATGGTGAATCTGAGTCTTTGTTCTAGCTCTAATATATAATATTGCTCTCATTGTTAATCAGGTAGACATACCAGTCAAGTATCTGGGATTTTTCTTGGAGGATGATGCTGAGCTTGAGCATGTTAAAACAGTAAGATAATCATCACATTGGTCCATGTATCTAGATACTTTTACAATTGTGATTTCCACTTTTTATCATCATATTTCTTCTTCCTCCCGAGAAAATGCTAAGCTTTATTCCTCCAGGAATATGGTGCTGGAAGGATGCTGACAGGTGAGGTAAAGAAACGGCTCATTGATGTTTTATCAGAGATGGTTGAAAGACATCAACGAGCTCGGGCCGCTGTAACTGATGAGGTGAGCTTTTTATGCGGAATTTACCTTCTAATCTGAATTGTTAGGGAGGTTTTCCTGTAATGTTTTTTTTTTTATTTTTTAATTTTTTTTTTGGGTGAAATTTCTGTAATGTTGATTGTTCTGAAAACAGCACTGCAGAAACAGTGTAATGCAGGTGATGACTTATTATTTGCTGTGCTTTTCGATATATAGAAATTAATCTGAGTTCCACTAGCAGTTATAAAATGTATATTATAGTTTTAACTTGACCATTCTTTCTATAATGGTGAAAAGTCAATAATAACCAAATACATCTCCACAAGATCTTCTAGTGTAGAAAAGCAACTTTAGTCATCGTATGCCTGTATGGGTGTGGAGTCTGCTCCTTGTTTTAAAATAAAACACCTGTAGTTAATTCTGTACATGATGACTTGTGGAGTTCATGGTTGTCCTTGTTCCCTTGGACTCCTACCTGTGTAACACTACCCTCAAACATATAAACAAGAAGAACTGGGGTGATAAAAGGGTTAAATGGTTAATATGTTGTATGACTTGGGAAAATTGTTGATCCAATAGGTAATCATGAAATTCTGTGGTCATTCTTGATCCCACTAACCCTGTACTCGGATTTCTGGTTACTTCTAATAAGATCTCCTTTAAAATTGTCAGCTTATGTCTGCTTGGATTTACTAGTTGCTTGTTTTACAACAAGCCTGTGTAATAGTCAAATTATCCTTTTCTAACACAGCTCTTTTGACTTCCAGATGGTGGATGCTTTCATGGCCGCAAGGCCTCTTCCTCACATGTTTGACTAATGGGGGGAAACCAATGGAATTTATGATACAAGTGTGAAATTTTGCAATGGTTACTGGTTTAGAACGTTTATTTATGCAGTCATTCAAAATCGAAGGATTTTTGGACTAATTGTAGTCGTACATATACATCAATTTTGAAGCTCTGAAATCCAATACATGTTGGCAACCATGTAGTGTCGTTAAACAGTTGATTCAATGGATTGTGTTGGGGAAATCATTGAACCCAGTGTTTTTTTTCTGCAATCTTCAGTAGAGAGAAGTAGGTTGCTATCAAGTTTTCTTCGTAGTTTATGATATCCTGAGGAAGCTTGATACCACATTGCGCCTTATGGCCTCAAGGAATAAGATAGCCTTTAGTTTGCCTGATCTATGACAAGTAAACTGGACATGCAACTCCACTGTTTCTTTATATTTGATGTTCTGAACATGATTAAATGAAAAATTACATAATGCACAGCATAATCAAGTCTGAAGCATCTAAATGTTGGAAATCTAGTAGGGGGGAAACAGAGAAGGTTATTGCAGAGTGAAAGAAAGAAACCTTGTTGTGACTGACCATTAACTAAACTGAATAACTTCTCCCCAGATTTAAACTCTGCAGATTGAAAGTTAACTGGTGCCAAGCTTAATGAAGACGAAAGTTGCTCGTCATCCATTGATGGAATTGTCAGCCATCTTGATACAAAGTGACGAGCATAAACAATGTTCTGTGCATATGTGGTAATCTTTTCCCTCTTATCAGAACTTGATCTTGATGAGATTAAATCAAGACTCTTCTTGAAGTTTGATTTTTCGTCAACAAGTCGAACAAAGCAGCATTGAATTATCACATAGTCTTCTAAGTTTCTATGTATGGATTTTATGCCCACAAGGCCACAACAAATACCGTTCAGGCATCAAACTATGTCCTGAATTGGTAACCATATTCAAAAAATACATAGAAACTATTCGACTTATTTGAAAATCAAGCTCAGTTGAGGGAGCTTCAATGGTGAACATGGTCACCCCTGCCCTTTGGGTTGACCATGGTGGAAAGTGGGTGGAGATCGGGGAAGCTTCAATAGTGGCCGAGGTTGGGGAAGCATTATTGGGGGAAGAACCGAAGTAGGAAACTTTTCAATGGAGGAAGTCTTAATGGTGAATGGACAAGGACTTAAGATTTACAACAATGTCATTTGAGTAACATAACATTTTATGATGCCATGTTACTTTACACCGCAAACCACTTATAACAAAATTAAATTTCAACCATCTAAGTCAATTATCAAGCATGTTATAATATATATACTACCTCCGTTAATTATTATGTGCAATAAAGAAATATTTTATTTCTCACAAATAATACCCCTTTGTTGCACATAATAATTTTTTTTAAAAAAAACACACACACATTCATTCAAAGAAAAAAAAAAGACAGGTAGGCATAAAAGGCATTGGCCGTATTAATGATTTAAGACTGGAACTAAATTACCTTGACAACTTTGACTCTTTATTCCCTATTGGCTATTACAAAAAAAAAAAAAAGTTTGCCTACACAAAAACAATTGCAAAATACAAAATCCATAAAAAAAAATAATAATCACACTATATAATTACAAAAGTAGCAATCTGGAGCAACGCCCGGGCTATTCACTAGTGACAATGATTAGAAGGTGTGAGCTCTACCATTGAACTCTCACTTGATTCTATGGTTAAATTTTCACCAATATAAAACTTTACTTTAATATTTATATAACAATTGTAATTTTCAACTAACTATGAATAATCTCTTTCTTACCAATAATAGAATCACTTTTGGATATAGTTAACATAATTACATACAAGTAATCATTAAAATTGTTTCAAAAAAAAAAAGTAATCATTAAAATTAAAAGGAATTAAAATTGCTCAAAACTTTACTTTTTGTATGCACCCTCGAACGTAAATTACTTTTAAGCCCTTCAAAAGAGCAATATCAAATGGATAAAACGGTGCGTTTATATCAACAATTCTTTTCTTGCAGAAGAATTTCTCAAAACTCCCACTATCTGCAGCATATAACTAGCTCCAACCTTCTTGTTCTTCAGTACCCATTTCCAATTGCAGTTTTAGGAGAGAGAAAATTGAAAAAAATGGCATGTGTTCATGATCATAGCTGCGAAGATCACGATTGTTCAACTGATTGGTCTCTTTACAAGCATATCGACCTCCCTAAGGTATAAATCATCTTTATTTTTCCAATTATTCTCTTTTTTTCTGCTTTTGATTTCGTGCTCAATTTACCCAGAATTTTTGTTATTAATTTTTAGTTAGTTTAATGTAATTTATGAAATACCCAGATTGATTTTATGGGTTTTTAGTTTACTTGAATTTTAATGCACCCCATTGGTTTGAAATTGCTGGAAATTGTGGTCATAATTCTGACACTTTCACTTGATACCCAGATTGATTGATTGATTATTGATAATACCATGAATTTTGTGAATTTGATGATGAATATAAGTTAGAACTTTAAATTGTGTCCTGGGTTTTTGATGTTTGCCGGGTACAATCTATAGGTTTAGCTAGTTGATTTCATGAGGTGCTGTTATGGTGTGTAGCTCTGAAGAATTTAACGGTGTCAATTTGGTATGAACTCTGAAAAGAGCTGATCGTCGATGGAATGGCCCGGAAACAGAAGGCAATGTATGATGGTGTGCAGTGTGCTGGTTGGGTAATGACCTTACTCACCGGCTTCACTGAACCTATAATTCATGTTAAAGTTGTCTGAGCATACATTTGATCAGCTCCTGATAATAAAATTTCTATAATTTGTATATAGCTAGGATGGATATAGTTCGAGCAAAAATCATAGTTGAATTGTTATCCATGTTAACGGTTATGACTTCATTTACAATGTGATTCGTGGAAAACCTACTATAGCTTTAGTGACGAATTCATTACTAGGTGCCTAAGACCTTGAAAACTAAGTTAGCTAATTACCTCTTGCCTTGGCTTTTCTGCTGCCCATTAATTACTTTTCGCAGTGTGTGTCAAAGACAGTGATTTGAAATTCATATTTATATGTTTTGACGTTATGCGTTAAGTTAGTGATACAGAAAGAATATTATGATGTTTAGATATTCGAATAGCTTTGTTATGGTATATTATCAATTTATTATTTAAAGCAGCTTTATAATTATCATATCACAAAGCAGATTACGAGCTAAGCCACTGGTCTAGGGTGTACCAGAAATTATCAAACCACTTGTTTAGAAGCATTGTAGCCTTTCCTGAAGATTTTTGGAAACCTTTATCTAAAAAAAGGAACTGGCAGATTACTAGTGGGGATAATGTAGGTCTTTAATTTTTTTTTGTGTTTTTTCATACAAAGAGTCTATGGGCTTGAATATTCCTTTTGTGTCTGATTACATGCCAAGAAAACCCTCTTTTAATGGACAAGAGTAGGAAATCGCAAAGTTTAAGAGTATAATGTTGATGGCAAAGGCCATCTTAATTGATTGCAGCTGTTAGTCATACGTAAATATTCTTTTTAAACTAATTTTAGTGCCAAAAACAAACAGGGAATTTTATATTTGCTTGCGAGTGATCATGTTGTTGGCAAGTATACTCCCTTTTAGTAGATGCAAGGAGAAACTTTCTGATATGTAGTGTATAATGCACATGTCAAACGATTATAGCTTTTGGAGTTGTAAATTTTCATGCTATGTTAATTTTCATCTTCTCAAAGTGCTAATATAAAATATGTTTGCTATTTTCTTGTGAGTGAACATGTGGTTGGCAGTGTGGCAGGGCCTTGAAGCCCAAGATTCATGAAAGATTTGTATTGATTGCTTTTTTTTCTAGACTTAGAATAATTCCTGAACGTCAGGTGATTGCTACACTGGTCACTTGTTCTTAAAAGTAAGCTTCATAACTGTAAATTTGTGCAGGTCTCTGCTCTGAATGAGGCGATTCCAGGAAGGGCACAAAAAGTTTTCAGATCATGGGAGGAGCGTCTAAACTCTGCAGGGGTAACTACATCATAAAATATTGTTTGTGAATCTTGATATTAAGAAGCTATCACTCTATTAGAGAATGAGTGCGTATTGACTGGTTACAGTTTCCATCTATGGATTCCTGAATCTGAATTTGTCCTAGCAAGTGGTTTCTGGATTTGCATGTTATAAGCAATTGTTATGTTATGTGCACTCAGCTTTCCTTAAGTTCTATGCATTGTATTCAATATATAATAGACAGAAAAAACGAGCATAAGTTTGTCATTTGGGGTTGATGCTGAAATTTTTCCGTCGGGAACCTGGGGATGACTTCAAGAATAAAAGTGGCAAGGACATCATAGAGTTAGGTTTTATGATGTGACAGCCAGCTAATATGTATAAATATAGATCAATTTCTTTGTTGATATTGTCCTTGCATTTAGGGAGGGGGTGTTGGACTGCTTTCCCTCTCTCTCTTTTTCCCGCATAATTGATTCACTCTGTCCTTCTGATCATGGCACTTCTCCTATTGCTGGGTTTTAGTTGTTACATATCTGGCTATCTTTATTGTACTAGATGTTGTAGCAAGCATGCAGTTTAATACAAGTCTTCTTGTCTTCTTACTTGCAACAGGCATTCTTGGAAAGCAATGACGGTGATCCTGAGTTGATTGTTTTCATCCCGTGAGTAACATAGGGTTTTGTTTTAGGGCATGTGTTAGATTGTTTATGCTAACTTGTGGAAACTTATTGTCAGATTTACTTCTGATATCAAGATCAAGGGCATATCAATTGTTGGTGGTGCTGATGGAACAAGTCCTTCCAAGATGAGAGCGTAAGATTATTTTTATACTCTCCGATGTCGTGGATTGTCTTGGTAGTCTTGTAGTTTGTGAGTGCGGACTGGCGGTATGATTTGTGTTTTTGTTGTACAAAGGTTTTCAGATCATATAGTGATGAGCTGATATGTCTTTCCTCTATAGCATTCATAAGTAACTTCAATCAAAAGAAAAATTATCACTCAGTGCCATCTTTCCACAGTAAACTGACAACCTCCTCTATATGTACTTGCAATAATTATATGCAACTGTTTCATTGTGCTCTATGAATTTTAAGTAAACATACTGTATTTTGGGGATTTCTAAAGCAAAAACTGCTCTAGTGCACTAGTTTACCCTATTACTTACATCACTTCAAATACTGGGCTTAGGCTCCCCTCATGTTGGGTTAAGGGCTTAGGTGAACCCAATTTTTTCACTTGTAGTAA